TTTGTTATAACCTAACTTAACCGTTCCAACGAAGTGTTAAATTATTAATTTTACATGTTAATAATTATTTATATATAAAATATGTTCCATTAATTTTATTTAGAAAGTCTCTACTACGTGTAGCGTTCTTTCACTTCGCTGATTGCATTGGGATTGGTATCAGGAACTGATCCTGGGATCAAATATTTGAATATATAAACTGATCCATAAAAAAAATCGGGATCAACCATCACTAGCCCGAACTTCTAGCTTGACGAACTTTTACGGAAAAGACAACGACATTGTTTGCTAATTCATTTCGAACATTTAATTTGCTTACTTTAATGAGAGTGACAGAAATAGACTTATATGAAGAGAGAGATGTGGTTTGAATTATTAAGAGAGAGAAAGCTATTGTTCTAAGATTCCACATGGAGGTATCTCGTTGATGTATTACATTCTGTTGTATTAGTTGTTAATTTATAACACATTTTAGAAAGGATTTATTGTATCATGGCTTTATAACCCGAAAGCGTTTAACCGAATTATAAATAAAAAGGGTTAAAATTTTTACACACTGAAGTATTTATTCCATTAAGTTTTCTTAATACCTAAATCGCTTCACATGAAGTTTAAAATGCTATGAGTAATAAATTTATATCAGCCGCTTACGATTTTATCAAAGAACTTGCACAGAATTGTTTCCAATACATTCTAGTATACCTTATACTTTGCATAAAAATGTTTTCTTACCGTGAACATTTATACAAAAATATAATCTAACCATAAATTCTCATTTTAGAAAAAGGAAAACACACCGTGAAACACATGAACGCGTTAATTATGCAAAACAGTTCGTTCACTATAAAACCGTAGAAAACCTTAACAACAAGAGATTATTTAAATTAATCACGCCATTTACAGATTAATCAGAAGTTCTGAAATAAATTGCGTTTTCATTATGTTGGAATAAGAAATAATTGCGGAGTTAACAGTGTAATGGATCTGATTATTTATACCTATTCGATATTTGTTTCCGTGTTACCTTATACTATGCTGTAAAGAATATTATAAATTTGAATGAAATTCTAAGTAATAAATCTTTAATTAACTACTTCTAAAGTGTTAATTAATTTTAAAGAATAACGCTTTAAATATTTTTGTAGAATTTTCACTACTTTACTCAAGTAGGTATTCCATACATACAGGGTGATCAATTTATACTCCGGAGTTTGATATCTCCATTGTTTTGAGGGATACAAACAAAAATTTCAAATACAAATTATAGATAGAGTCCAGCTCAGTAGATGAGCAAAGAGAGAGAGCTGGCTCACAGTTCCAAAAGTCGCCGGTAGATGGCGCCACCTGTCAGTGGTGGATATGCAGACTAGAGAGAAGGAGGCGAATTGGCAATGGTCAAATTTCAAATTTTTGTCCTTCTTTTTATAAAGTTCGGAAAATTGACTGTAGTTGGCATGTCGAATAACAGCGGTGTCAATTTTCTATATAAGTCAATGTAAAATGAAGTGATTTTTTAAAAAATTGGTGAAAAGAATCAAAATATTGTGAAAAAAAGTACAAGTAACATGAGTCACAAAAAACATTAAAGCAAGATTTACGTCGTTCCAGATTGTAAAACAGGATACAAATCAAAAGTAAAACTAAAGAAAACACAAGAAGAAACGTCTTTTTAAAGTTTCTAATGTATTTATGTCTAAATATAATATTTATTTTAAACTAGTCACAATACGAAGTGTAATTTATTTTATTACAAGTTCCTATAATATAAAATTTTACAGATTTTATAGATCCCGACTTACAAACAACAATAATTATTGTTGTTTTGCTCCATCACGTCAGAAAACCCAGATTTCAAGGTCATTCAGAGGTTAAAATGGTGCTTTTTCGAAACCGACCCTCGGACAATTTCTAAAGCGATCTGTTAAGTTGAGGGGTATTGTCTAGGTCGTGAATACCTTCCAAACATTGGACAGAGGCCATGAATCTCGAAGAAGATGACGGTAGATGAGGAAGAAGCATGGAAGAATGTTTCTCAGAAATTTCTTGGAAATACTAAAGACCCAAACTATATGGAATTGGTGGAGGGCTTGTTCCAGAACTATAAAGCCATTGGATGTTTGATGAACTTGAAGGTCCACTTCTTGGATTCCCAGAGAACCACGGACAATTTAGCGAAGAACAAGGTGAAAGATTCCACTAAGATATAAAAGAGATGGAAAGACGCTACCAAGGTTTCTGGGACATTAACATGTTGGCAGATTACTGTTGGAACTTGAAGAGGAATACCAACAAGGGGCATAAGAGAAAGGTGCTTAGAAGGAGTTTTGATCAAAACTGTAGATCCCATAAACAAGCACGCAAAGATTGAGAAATTGGGAGGCAAAAAAGTGCGAGGAGAAGGGACTCACTATAAACAAGCACCCCGAAGGGACTAGTATCTGCAACGTTCCCGTCGTTGTTACTGGGTAATATTAATAGCAGAACTTATCAGCAGACTCTAAGTCATAGTCACAAATATTGTATGGTAGCTACACCAATTCACTTGGTGGAATTTGACGTCTTATCAGAAGGATTGAATTTCAATGGCCTGCCTCAGCAGAACAAATGTGGCAATCTCTGAAGTTGCGAGTTGGGATCCTCGGGCCATTTTCTGCAACCTTAGTTTACCTCGGACAGTATACTCAGCTTCGCCTAATTTTTGGACGATGTTCTAGGAGCATTTTGAGAAGTGCTGGCATTAACTGACGATAACTCAATTATCAAAATTCTACGTGTTGGCAAGTGAAGCAAAATTCACGAGCTCGAATACCTCGAACCACTTGAGCATAACTCCAATGTTCTGGAAAGGTTCTAGGTCCATTTGGGTCAGTGCTGGATCCACTGGCATTATCTCACAGCAAATGCTATTATTTTTTTGTTGAACCCCAATTGTAAATGTTTTTTATAGGATACTAAATGCTTAGAACAGTGGCAGCATATATATATATATATATATATATATATATATATATCGTTTGGATTTGAACGGGGAAAACGTTGGAGTGGGGGAAATTACCGCAATGTCAAAGTCAAGAGGGCCCAAGCTTGTATCTCGGTTACTATTGATCATATTCAAACTGAAAAAAACGACACTATGTAGAAAACATGTTATAGATTAAAGTTGAATAGAAAAGGACCTAAGAAGTAGAATGACGTTGAAACGCAATGGCCGTAAGAGCCGTAAGGGCATAAGTCATTGCTATTGGTGCAATTCAGACGGAGAAAACGAGAGAGCCAGAGGAAAGCTTCGCTACTATTCAAATGGGAGTCAAAAAGCATGTCTTTGAAATAAATATACGCTGTAACATTGCCAAAAGGACCTTAGGTAGACAAAAACAGACATATAGACCGACGAAAACATAGAGGGACAGAAGGACAGACAGACGGAAGGAGGCAAATATATTTTAAAATTATTTCGTAATATACAGGATATTTCATAAAGTCACAGCATACCAAAATTATGTTTTTTTAGTAAAACACCCTATACATTATCTCTAATTTGAATGTTGCTAATTTTCCCCATTCCTGCAATATAAGGTTTTATCAGGTTCTATAGGGTACTTTTAAAGAAATAGCCACTTTTATGTGAAAATCTTAATGAAATCATCACCCTCGTAATTTCGTAGTAGTCTAGTTTTGTTGCAACTCATTATGTTTTTGATATCTTTCATTTTGTATACAGGGTTCTATTGATTTTTCTGGACAGTTAATGTGTCTGCCTGTTAGCCACTTAGTGATATCATCTTTCTTCCATGAAGTATTTGGCACACGTCCAATTAGACGGGAATGGTAACCTAGCGTTATCCATTACTATAACTGAACCCTTTGGTAAATGTTCTATGATCTGCTGAAAATATTCTTCAAAAACATCAACGTTCATCTTCATAGTGGTCTCCGGTTTTTTAGATTGAAATATTAAAGAATCACGTTTTAAAAACCCCTCATCATTTCCAATATAAGTTATAATTAGTCGTCGTCCTTTACCGGAAGGAACCTTCAATCCTGTAGATAATCCTTCCAAAAAAGCCTGTCGTGGAGATTGAATGTTTGTATCCTATCACATTTTGTTAACTGTGTAACCTTCATTTACACAGGTTTCGTCTTCTGCACGTAATTTAAAAATGGTTCTGAGGTTTCTCCGTCTCCAACAAACAATTTCATCAGAATCAATAAGTGCTGCTTTCCTGTCCTGTTTATCCCACTTAAACTCCAACTTCAAAGTGTCTTTTTTAAAATAAAATTCGTGAACTTTTCTTTTTATTCCGCTTTTAATTTGTTCAGTAAATTCCACTTTTTTCTTACTTCCTGCATTTTTCTTTAAGGGTTTAACAACTCCACTTTTTAATTCACTTATAACTTTATATATCGTTGTTTTGCTTACACTCATCATATTACTTGTCTTTTTAACAGTATCGTCAACAGAAAACGAAGGATTTTTCATTCTTAGGCAAGTATAAACATTGCTTGCAAATATTTTCTCGTTAACTGACAGCGCACATTTTTTTATACGTTTCTTAGGTGTAAACTTTGAACTTGAACCACACAGCAGTTTTCAATACTACAGTCACTGTTAACCGAAAATAACCACAACTTATTGTAATCAAACAGGGTAGGTAATATTGGGAATTGATTAAGATACTAACTGCAACTGCCTATCTTATTTTCATATCAAATCATAGGTAGATATAATCCCACCCCCTTGTTATCATTTTGGTTTTTCCATGACAATAGTAATCTCCAAGAAGATGATAAAATAATGAATAAACCTTAGATTATAGATTTCTATAATCTAAGGATTTATCCCATTTACATTTTTAATACAATTATAGTCACAATTATAGATTTTAAACCCTCAGATTACTTTCTATAATCTAAGCTGAAACCTTTCTCTCCACTTGTTATTAACTTTCACCTCGACATCAAAAATTTAACAATTAAATAGGTATTAAAAGATTTATTACCATAATCCATTCCATACGGCGACGTCCTCTGAAACCCAGTACCATCATACGGCCTCCAACCTCCCATCATCACATTCTGAGCGTAAAACTGACCCGCTAGAGCTCCAGCATGATGTGGTGACGTACCCAGTCCATGAGGGGTTGGAGTAGCCATTTCTCCATAACCACCGCTCGCATGCCAACCACCTTGATGTGCAGCTCCGAAGTGACCTCCTGTTGGAGATGCGTATTGGGGCATGGCTCGGTTGCTGGGTACGTAAACTGGAGATTGTTGTAGATGTTGGTGAAAGCTGCTGTTAGTGTCGCTGTATCCACCTGCATTCGGAGCAGAGTGGAACATTGTGAGATGGAAGATGGGATGTTATATGGCAGACATCTGTAACAATAATTTAAGATTTAAGACTTGTTAACGTATAACAGACAATCGAGAGATACTAGTCAAAAATTAACATAATGGCGCTTAAGTGTATCGTTAAAGTAGAGTCAGCAACATAGATATTTAATATGTATTTAATCTATAGTCATCAACATGTATTACAAAATGAAAAATTTAGAATCTCATGCTGTGATAAAAATCTTCTGGAAAAATAGTTAAATACAGAATAAATCCATGATAATATGGTTATTATGTAAGTTATGTCAGGCTGTATTACATAGAATTGAGTTAACTTTTTTTCTTGTTAATTTTAGCATAAAGTAAGTTGTACAAAATGGCGTTACAAACCAATGACAACTCTAGAAAAGTCTTTCTATTTATAATTATAAAGGTACTCTTTTTTAACGTTAGTCTTTGTTCCTAAAGTATACTCCTCCAAATTCCTCTAGACTCTAGACCCTTCACTTGGCATTCCCGGTACAACACACTGCAAGCGCTGTTGTCAGATTGAGTTAAATGTCTGAACATACCGGTCAACTTGAAATATTTGGGGATCATCCTAGTCCTCTTTAGGAAAAAATAATTTGATGGAATTTCCTTTACTTTTAGCTAAAATATCTTAACGGGAAAAGTACTACAAGATATTATAAATATATGATTAATTCAAAATCAAAATTAAAGTGAAGCTAAAATAATCAAAATAGTCTGTACTTTATAGAGACACTGTATATACCCATTGAATTTTTTTCTCTTTCATAATAAAATTATAAACCCCTCTTACGTCTCTTACCACAAATTATTTTAATCCCTTACCCAGCTTACGTCATTATTTATTGTTTAGTAAAAGAAACATCTGCTCTAATTTTTGAATAATGCTTTCAATTTTTTATTATTAATTCTGCGGATCCCGAGCTGCACCACCTTGAGCCCATCACACATGTGTCTGACAATTCGAAAAGTTTTTTTCTTAACGAGCGGTGATAAGATAAGCAGGCGCCTAGTGGATATCCATTTCAAGATGGACATAAGCTGTTTTGGGGCACTAGACCTGTTGTTTTACTTTTTATAAAGATCGATTTCGGTTACTTAGTGGTCAAAAGAAATCAATCGGGCTTAGAAGCTCTTGAAAAAAAAAATATAATACAACTTTAAAGTGTGCGAAAATATCTAGGAGGATATTGTAAATTAAAAAAAAAAAATATTTAATATTTGTTACCCTAATTTGATTTAAAATAGGTTTTTTGATAAACTTTTTTTAACACTTTGACTGCCATGTTTGTCCCCGAGTATCTAGCACTTGCTTACGTACCAACTGGTACTACGAAATAAAGTTTAATGTACATTTTCCCAATAAAATGGCCTCAAGGTCTATAAAAAGCCAGAATAAAGGATTAACAAAATAAAATGTCTAACGTTTTTTTTTGTTATCTACTTTAGATGGCCTTGGAAAATATAGTATAATATTGCGAAAATGATAAAGGTGTAGTAAAAACATCCCAGTTAATTCCTTCAAGGAGAAAAACAAGTTTGGTTTGTGACTACCGCTGAAAGTAATGCTTTAGTCACTATTTTTTTTTTTTTTTCATGAATGCATACAAATGGCAAATGTTTTCTACCATTATTCGTTTTTCCTCGCAGAGGAAGAATTATTGGATGGTCCTCCTTCTGGGTCCATATAGCCACATGTCACCCTTTTAGTTGGATACAGTAAATTATATTTACCCGATGGCTTAGACATTTTATTGCACACGATAAACCAACAGAAGACGAATCCGATTTACTGATTATTGATGGCCACTACAGCCACACAAGAAACGTAGAACTAATTGAAACTGTTCGTGCCCATCACGTGACAATCGTCTACATCAATCACCGTACTTTACATAAACTGCAGCCTTTAGGCATATTACTCGCAAACAAATTTGTGCAAATGGATTCCGAAAGGTGGGAGTTGATCTTCATAACCAAAATATGTGTGGATGTAGATTTTATTATAGAAAGACAAATAGAATAGAAGGAAAAACACACAAAAGAAAAACAGAAAATATAAGGCCAAGATAACACATTAAAAAGACCCCTAAAAAAATGGGATAAAAAGAAAAAACACCAGTAAATATATGGGCAAAGAGAACCCCATTGAAAATATATGGGCAAAGAGAACCCCATTGAAAAGACTTGGAAGAACGGTCTACAAAACGCTAATGCAAAACATCTGAGGCTGAAAAATATGCCGAAAATTATTAAAGAAATATTAAAGAAAATCTAACCAATAGGGACAGAAGAGAATAAGAAAAACCTACTTAAAGTTGTTCAAGAACGACAAATGGGATGACTATTAGCATCAGTCATCCTGGCAAAGTTATAATTAATTACCAGGTAGCCCAGCTATTCAACAACGTACATCAAGGCAGCTACTTTAAAAACTGTCTTTGCTACCTGAATTTATCCATTCAATTACGAAGTGTTTTTGAAGAATGGATGTTCGTACCATCGACAGTAACAAAACTGCCAGCTCCTTCCATCGATGATGCTATTCAGCCCGAAATAGCAATTAATGTAATAACACAACCAGAGTCAAATTATGTCTATTTTATGAACAATTAGGTAAAGACAATTACTAAAACCTTAAGAGCGATATCCATGGTTAGAAACAGGCTTAAAACGACTTCAAGGTTCTCTTTCTCAGTTTTAAATATTTTTTTATAAAATTTGGTATACCTACTAAGCAAATGATAGAGAACTCCGCTGTAGAGCCCGAATTCAGAAAAACTAATTTTTTAATTATTTCTATACAAATTATGAAAATTATTGCAAAAAGGAGTCTTTACCGGGAATTGTTATATAAAAATCAGCTAATTCTTTCCAATACACTTTTTTGTCCAAAGCGTATATTTTTTGAAAACCTTGAATTAGGAAATCTGAGAAAATCTGTCAAGATTCCAATCCATATTAATTGATTTGGCAACAAGGCGGCGGACGTTGGCGGTGCATGCAGTACCGGAAAATTGGGATAAAAATAAAATAATAAAAAACTATTCTTTTTAGTTCAAGTGTAGGTGTTTTTGTTTCGTATTTAGTCAATGTGTTTATATGAACTTTTATGTGTAAGCTGAGTTATAATAATTTGTGATAAAAATGGGAAAACTTTCGGAAATGCCGAAAATTATATTTCCGTTTCGACGGAAATCTATAAAATATCGTGCTAGATTACTTAGAAAAAGACAAACATTAGCACCCCTTCTAAGCATTAAAGTTAAAATATATGGGAAATTAATATACTAAGTATTGAATAAAAAAAAAACCTTTAGCTTTAAAGCAATATTTACAAATTTAAAGCGGATATCCAATAAATGTGGTTTATTTGTGGATTCTGAATATGGTTTTTAGGTTCCGACGGTTTATTAGGAACAGACAGTATTATCGAAATTAAATATCCTGCCACTGCTTCAAAACTGACTCCGAAAAAAGCAATGGTTGACAACATAATAAAATTTGCAATTATTAATGATAATGCGAAAATGCAATAATTGTTCAGGGGCAACTTAACGTAACTAAACGAAATATTTTTTTTTTTTATTTATTTTAATACCTTTAAGTATGTTAGTAGAAAAAATAAAAAAGATGATAGATTTTGGTGTATATGGAAAACAAACTAAAGCAATTTTATTTAGATTGTATACTACCCGAGATCTTAGATCCACGTTTCACTAGAGGTTTAGATATTAGAAATTTGAGTAGAAATCCGAGTAGAAATCCGAGTAGAAATCCGAGTAGAAATCCGACCAATAGTCAATAAAAATGATTATTTTTATTCCTTCTTTTACTAATAATAAATCATTTTACTCAATGTTATTTTTAAATATTTTTAGTACTAGAAAACAATTTTTTCTACACCCAAATGGATAGCGTATCTACGTACAGACTACAAAACGAAAAAATATGCTATTGCGTAAAATGAGTTATACTTGTGTAGAATCGATAAATAATAGCATTTCTAGTTTTATTTGATCTATATTTAGAAATAAATAATTATAAATTTTAATTAAACTATATGAAATCAATTTAATTTATATTCACTCATGTTACACAAACTACTATTTTCTACATCCACATGGATATGCTTTTTTCTATACCCATATGAATATTAGCTAATCTACTCACATACTACAAAACAAAAAAGTATTCCATTGCGTTCAACTGAACGAATATATTTCATATTCATTCTACCTAGTAAGAACACTGCGAAACAGTTAAATCTACCAATCAGATTATATATTGGTCACCCGGCTACTATTATTTTTTAAATTTTATGTAGTTAAACTAACTGTCAGTATATTTTTGAATTATTGAGATTAAATATACGTAAAAATGAATATTTCTTATGTATAATCGATAAGTAATAGAATTTCTATTTTTATTTCGTCCAAATTTATAAACAAATCTTAAATTTTAATCAAACCATATAAAACTAATTTAATTACAAGAATTAGAACTATAATGGCAAGTGTGGCGACGGCACGGAGTTTGTCTCCAAGCGAGAGACCCGAGTTCCAACCATGGCTGGGGACTAATTAAATTAAATCTTTTTGTATGTTTATTTTATTTTATAAATTATTAAAAGTCATACATTATTTTAAAATTATTTATTTTGTCTTAATAAATTACTTTTTTAAATTTGTAGAATTTCGTTAGGGTGTCGTAGAAAAAATATACTGTACAACTCGAGTGTATTGTCTGTATCGCACTCAGACGATTAAGCACTCCGTCTACGGCGTCGTTCTGAAACTTCGTCTTCGTGCGATATGGCCATCATATCCAATTTTGTTGCACAAACTACTATTCACGCACAGACTACAAAACGAAAAAATATACTATTGCGTTCAACTCAACGAATATATTTCATATTCATTCTGGGTAGTGAGAACACTGCAAAAAAATAAAATCCACCAATCACAGTTTATATATTGGACACCCAACAACTATTATTTTTAAAATTTTAA